TGTGGCTGCCCAGGCTGGCCTCCTTCTCTCACTCCCCCTTTCAGCCGTTGTTTCAATCTCGCATAGCCTTCGTCCCACCTCCACCCGTTTCACCACTTCATACACCTCTTTCAGCGTAGCTTGCGCTCCCATTTCGAAGACCCGAACCGCTACATCTCGTCGCAGCTCGTAGTGCAATCCGTTTAGGAACTTGCTGACCAACCGACTCGAGTCGTGGCAGCTCATGTCTTCCGCTAGTTCCACCAGCCAACCGTAGTAGGCCAATAGCGATTCTCCTATGCGACGACGGAATTCTCTGAATTCCGCCACCCTTTCTGGCGTCTGCGTCGGGAATTGATCTTCCAGCAGCGCCAAAAAACAAGTGGTCGGATCTCTCTCTCCTGGTGCTGCCCGCGCGGTCCATTCCAGCAGTTCCCTCCGATTGAGCCGATAGAAGGTCTCCGCTTTGCCTGTAAGAGTGTTCGCGAGACCTCTGAAGAATTCCTCCGGGTCCAGCCGATCTCTTTCCCATCGAGCTCTCAGGTTATCCAGCTGCATCACGTAGTTCTTAATCGTTGGACCTCGCCGCATATCACCAGAGAAGCGTTCTGGGACTTCGATCTTCGGCAGGAGTGTGTACTTCCACCGCTGCGCAGAGGCGTCTTCTTGCCATGACGCGCTCCGCTGGTAAGAGCCAGTCGGTCGTCCTTCCTCTGCATCTCGCATCGGTCGTCCTTCCGATCGCGCATCCTTCTTCACTGCTTCCGCGGATCCCCGCTCTCCGCCTTCAGGCCGATTCACTCCTTCCGCTTCCCGCCTTGGCGAGCCATCGTCTCGAGATTCGTTAGCCCTCGTGTCGGTGCCCTCGTTCATCGTGCCCGACTGTTCCTTCACCGTAGCCTCCGCGCTCTCGCTTTCCGTTTCTTTGCCGTATTCCGTCCCGCCCCTTGTGCGCATACTATCGCCACCGATGATTGTTTGTATGTGATAAGCTAGCCGTGCTTACTCACATCTACGCAATAAACCTACTTACATCTTCATCAGCAATCACCTACGTTTGTTATGGCCTGTCAAATCCTTCACGTGATTCTTGCTGCAATCACATGAGTAAAACAGAACATACAAACAATGCAGAGAACTATGCCGTACCCCCTTATATCCTAGCCTGCGTCCTCCCCCCCCCTTACTGCTACTCCAAAGAAACCCTTCGAAGGGATGACTTCCGCCGTAGTGAAAGAACAATTTCCCCCTCCTCTCTCCACCACCACTTAGCCGCCCACTGCTTGACCTCCAGCTCGTGCCTGCAAATCCAGCTGGCTCGGGCATTCGTCCTGCAAGAAAGCAAACATGCATACAGCACACGAAACAAAAGAGCTCCCTCCAGCTGTCCCCGCACCATCTCCCCATGCGTCTATTGGCTGACTCGGCAGCCCAATATCGCCCATCCACCACACCAGCCTCGGTCCCAGTCCCCGATACCTCTTCACTCGACAACCTGTACAAATATACAGTATATACACATTCTCCGTACTCGTAACCTTATCTGCCTCCTGATATTGCGACACTGGCCTCTATGTCCCTTCCTGCCGCCACAACCTTTTCTCTCTCTCTGCTCTTCAACGTCTTTGTGTGCGAGCTATCTTTCCTGAATGTGACTCCTATTGTGATCTCTATCATCGCAACCGCCATCTTGCACGCTTTACTCTTTCCCCTATTACTCGCCTCTACACTCTTCGTGTCTCTCTCCCCCCTTCTGCCCATCATGCCTCTTCCGCTTCCGCCCCTCCCGTTCCTTCTTGCGACTGTCGTTCTCTCACTCAACCTACCCTTCTCCTCCATCATCGGCTTGGCCACCCCAATTTTCTCCTTCTTCGTAGTATGGTCTCCTCCAAGCTTCTTCATGGCCTCCCTTCCTCTCTCCCCCCCCTTCCTCCCTCTCCTGCTCCTCCATGCACCCCATGTGTCCAGGCCAAATTATCCCAGTCACCCCATCCCTCTTCTCCCTCTGCCTCTCCCCAACCCCTTGACCTTGTACATATGGACCTCTAGGGTCCTTCACCTACTGCTTCTTGTCAGGGTCATTGCTACTTTCTGCTTTTGGTTGATGACCACTCACGATTTGCCACTGTCTATCCCCTCCGTGCCAAATCTGATGCTCCCTCCCTCATCATTCGCTGGGCTGAGCAGGGTCGTCTACGCTTTAAGCGTCCTATCACGCGCTTCCACTCGGATGGTGGTGGCGAATTCTTTAATCACTCTCTCTCCTCTTACTATGCCTCTCATGGCATTCGCCAGACCTCCACTCTTCCTCACTCGCCAGAACAGAATGGGGTTGCCGAGCGTCGCAATAGCACTCTCATTGAAATCACTCGCTGCCTTCTCACCCATGACTCTGCTCCCCACTCTCTTTGAAGCTATGCTCTCCTCCATGCCACTCTACTCTCTAACCTCCGCCCTCATCCTCTTCGCCCTACTACCACCCCCTTCCTGCTTTGGACTGGCCGCCAGCCCTCTGTTCGCCCTCTTAGGGTCTGGGGGTGTGTTGCCCATGTTCTTGTCAATCCAGCAGACCGGTCCCGTCAGGGTGGGAAACTCGCTCCAAAGACGCAGCTCTGTGCATTCCTTGGCATCAACTCTGACTGTCCTGGCTATCTTTTCTATGCCCCTTCCTCTCACCAACTCATTCGCAGCCAGGACATCATTTTCGATGAGACTCAATCCCTATTCCTTTCCCCCCCACCCGCCCCTCCTGTCCCCTCTCTTCACTGGTCTGATTTCGATCAGCCGCCATCTGTCCTTCCCTCCCCTCCCCCCCCCCCCCCTCCTATCCCGCCCCTTCCCGCCCCTCCCTCTGCGCCAGCCTCTACTGCCCCCCCTTCCGACATCATCTCTGGCGCCTCCCCACCCGCCTCTTCCTCTTCGGCTCCCCTCCCTTCCTCACTTCCATCTTCCTCGCCACCTCCTTTGTCTGTTCCCATTCCCCCCCCTTCTCCACGCCTTACTCGCTCCATGACTCGCGCACTTTCTAATTTTCAGCACTCTTCTCTTTTCACTCGTCTTTCTCCATCTCAGAATGTTACTCTTCTTGAAGATCGCTTTGAGGAGCTCTTCAACATTCATCCTATTTCTCCTCTCGTGTGTGTCACCGTTGGTGACTTTAGCAATTCTCCCACTCTTCTCTCTGTCGACACCGCTGCCATTCCCACCCCTCAGTCCTACTCCGAGGCTGTGTCGGGCTTTCATGCCACTAAGTGGATGGCTGCAATCATTGCTGAGTGTGAGGCATTCACCAGAACTAATTCATACATTGACTCTGTCCCCCCCCCTGGCACCACCATTCTCAAAGGCAAATGGGTCTTCCGTGTCAAGCAGTTGCCCGGCGAACTTCATGTCTTCAAGGCCCGCTACTGTGCCAAGGGGTTCACTCAGCGTTAAGGCATTGATTACTTTGCCACTTACTCCCCCATAGCCCGTCTCCCCACCCTTCGCCTCCTTATTGACTTAGGTGCTCGCTGGAATTGGGAGATCCATTCCATGGACGTTTCCAATGCTTTCCTCCAGGGCGAGCTGCATGAGCGCATATTCCTTGAGCGCCCCGCTGGCTTTCCTCGCCCTTTCCCTCCAGGCACGGTTTGGGAATTGAAACGACCTTTGTATGGCCTTAAACAGGCCCCACGCGAGTGGCACGCCAAGCTCGCCTCCACCCTTCACTCTCTTGGCTTCTCTACCTCCACCTCCGGCCCCAGTCTCTTCATTTGCACATCCCCCCATAGGCTTTACATCCTTGCCTATGTGGACGATTTGGTGCTGCTTGCTGAGGACTCTGCCGATCTTGCAGCTGTCAAGCAGGCCCTGCAGGCGCGTCTCCTGTGCAAGGACCTTGGCGAGCTTCGTCACTACCTCAGTATGGAGATCCGTCGTGATCGTGCTGCCCGCACCATCTCTCACTCCCAGTCTTTCTATATCTAGTCCATCCTCCAGCGGTTTGAGATGTTGCAGGCCAAGCCGGTCTCCACCTCTCTTCCCGCTAACCATCAACTCACTGCCCCTGCCGTCCCTTCTCCCTCCTCTGAGCTGCGGCCTTATCCTGAGCTCGTTGGATCTCTCATGTATGCTATGATGTGCACTCGCCCCGACCTTACTTACCCCCTCAGTGTTCTCTCTCACTTTGTTGGTCTAGGCCGCCACATTGACGTGCACTGGGCAGCTGCTAAGCGCGACCTGCGCTATCTGCGCGCCACCTCTGACCTTGCTCTCACTCTTGGTGGCTCTGTTCCTCCCGTTCTCTCTGGCTACAGTGACTCTTCCTATGCCGACTCCCGTCCTGATCGCCGCTCATCTCAGGGCTATGGTTTCACTCTTGGCAGTGGTCTCATAAGCTGGCGCTCTAGTCGTTCATCCTCTGTCTGCCTTTCCACCTGCGAGGCTGAGTTGTATGCAGGCACCTTGGCAGCTCAGAAGGCTCGCTGGCTCTCCTTTCTCCTTGTTGAGCTTGGTCACTCTCAATCCTCTGTGACACTCTCCTGTGACAGTGCAAGCATGATTCATCTCACTGAAAATCCTGTCCATCACGCCCGCAGCAAGCATATCGAGGTCCGCTATTTCTTTGTGCGCGAGCTAGTGCAGTCTGGTTTCTTACGTCTGCGTAAGGTGGACGCTGCTGCCAACCTTGCTGACATTTTCACCAAGGCCCTTCTGCGTGCGCCACACCGTTTCTACGTGCGTGAGCTTGGGCTCACGCGTCTCTCCACTTTTGGGGGTGTGCCGGTTCGCTAGGTGTTTTGCTCCATAGCTTCACCTAGCCTGGGGGTGTGTTGGAGTGGGCTAGAGCTCGCTCTAGTCTTTATTTTGGTGTTCTTATATTATATCTCCATGCTTAGAGAGACTTACGCATTCAGGTTCATTTTAGGTTCATTTCGGAGTTCTTAGTACAAACCGAACACACCCTAGGTTCAATTAGGGTTTCCAACCCTCTCTCTTTTGTATCTCAACGTTTTTCTTCCAAGTGTAACTTTTCGACCCTACCTAACTCTCTTGCCATCCATGGCTCCTCTCATCTTAACAAGTAGACGCGTGACAGTAGGACTAGCAGCACGAAGGGAGTTAGACTCCGGGTCCAGACCGTCAGCAAGGGAGGACGTAGGAGGAGACGGCAGAGGGACACGCAGTGGAATAGAGGAAGGATGAAGTGACATCTGGTGTGTGCCGGGGACAGGAGGAGGACGCTGGCGCGGAACACGACAACCAGTGCGAATAGGCGATACAGGACGAGACGCAGGCTCACGACGCTCTGCAAGACCTCCGGGCTGCTCACTGTAAGGAGACAGAGCAGGTAGTGGGGAGGCTGGCTGTAACTGCGGCTGGGACTGGTCAGGCGGTGGACACAGGAAGGGAGGAGTAAGGCCAGTAGAAGGAGGGAGACCAAGAACCTACTGAAGCAGAGGAACGAAGTACGGTCGCGGCCGCACAATACCTCCAGAACCAGCACCGACAGCACCAGCACACCCAGGGCCAGCACCTCCACCAGCTCCAGCCGCAGTGGCTCCAGCTCCAACTCCTGCAGCACCGCCAGCTCCAACACCTCTAGCTCCAGTAGCACCTCCGGCTCCAGCTCCAGTAGCACTCCCAGTGCCAGCAGCTCCAGTACCTCTAGTACGAGCACCTCCAGGACCAGCGGCTCCAGCAGCTCTAGTACCTCCAGCAACTCCAGCTCCAACAGCACCCCCAGCTCCAGCAGCTCCAGTACCTCCAGTACGAGCACCTCCGTGACCACCGGCTCCAGCACCTCCAACAGCTCCAGCTCCAGCAGCACCTCCAGCTCCTGCAGCTCCAGTACCTCCAGTACGAGCACCTCCGGGACCAGCGGCGCCAGCACCTCCAACAGCACCAGCTCCAGTAGCACCTCCAGCACCAACAGCACCGCCAGCTCTAGAAGTGCCACTCTGAAGTCTCCAGCGCCAAGCAAACCACTCGCGCAGCTGCGGTGGAGAGAGTGTCTACCGCCGTGACAAGAAACCCGAAGGACCTCCAGAAGACAAAGTACCTCCAGGCGCAGCACGCTCAGGCTCAGCACCCCTAGGCTCAGCATGCTCGGGCTCAGCTCCCTCAGGCTCCGCACGCTCAGGCTCAGCACCCCCAGGCTCCGCACGCTCATGCTCAGCACCCCCAGGCTCCGCACCCTCAGACTCAGCAACCCTAGGCTCAGCACCCCCAGGCTCCACACCCCCAGGCTCAGCAACCCCAGGCTCAGCACCCCCAGGTCCCGCACCCGCAGGCTCAAAATCCCCAAACGCAGTACCCCTAGCAGCAGCAGAGTCGACAGCTACCTCCACAGGCTCGACAGGGTCTACATGGGACACACCTGAGGGAGCAGGAGAGGGGGGAGGGGATCTACCGGAGGAGGACCTAGTGCGAGGAAGAGTGGCGGGGGAGGGAGAGGGGCAGTGCGGTAGGGGAAGAGACGGTAAAAGGGAACTGACTCGTGAAACGGGAGCTAGACTACGGGCTAGGCACGTGTGCTCGTGTGATCTCTGCGTTCGTTCACTTAGTCATTTCCTTGTGTTTAGGCTTCTTGCTAGTTCACGGGGAGAATTGGCGAGAGTTTCACTAGGAAAACATGAAGACAATGATCCAATGAAGTTGGCAATGCAAGACTACATCAGAGCTAGCATTCAGGTCGGCCAACTGCCAGCACAGCTTGGTCGACCACGTTCCAGCACGACTTGGTCGACCGCACTCCAGCAAGGCAAGGTCGACGGCTTGTCAACGTCGCAGGTTGATGGCGTACCAGCATTGCTCATGCAGGACAGCAGTGCATCCGCTTCGCAGGTGCGCGCAGATGATTGGCGTGCAGAGTCTCGTCACCTGCACACCGCACACACCACGTCAACCTCGAGCTGACGACTGCCTCTGATCCGCCACGACGACCTCGGGATACCACCACCGAGGTCGGTCTCGCCAACTTCGCCTGGGCGACCGTTGCACTCCTCCGCAGCACTTCGTCACCCAGGTAACCTGGTCGACCGGGCAACCACGTCAACCAGCAGCTCCCGTACGTGCCCGTCGACCTCCCAAGTCGATGACCACCACCATGTCGACCTCACCAGGACGACCACGCCCCTCGGTCGACCTCCTCCAGGTCGACGTCCCTTCTGGTCGACCAGCTCCACGTCGACCAGCACTAAGTCGGCCAGCGCAGTTGTCGGCCGGCCACCCACGTCGGCCACCCGAAGTCGGCGTCACGAAGTTGACGCCCCGCTACTCGACGCCAAACTGCTTGGCGTCCTGAGTCGAGGTCGACGTCGGCCCCTCCTTCGTCGACCACCAGGTCCAGTCGACCACCCGCAGGTCGACCAGCAGTCCATCAGCCGACCACCGAAGTCGGCTTCCCCAAGTTGACGTCACCAAGTTGACGTCCTCCGCAGGTCCACTCCTAAGTCGACCTCCCCGAAGTTGGCGCCACCCTGAAGTCGGCGCCCGTGCAGTGGTCCCCGTGCAGGTCGACCTCCTCGTCAACGAGCTCGCCCACTGCTGCAGGCCGGTTGCTCCCCTAACACCCGACCACGATGTCGGATCCGCCCAAGCGAGGACGGGGCCAACACACAACTCACGTTGACACCTGCGAGGGCAGGACACGACGCGAGGTGGGGTGGTAAAACTTCCAGCCAGGCGCGTCAGGAGGGAAACCAAGGAAGACACAGGGAACGGCGTGGGAGAAGAGCTTGTCCGCGGACGTATCGCGGACAAAGGCTCGACATCCCCAGACCCTGAACACCGACGCATCGCCAACCTCTCCCGTCCAACGCAGTGTCGGCGAGGTCTCCAGCAAGGAGACACGGGGCCAGAGGTTGAGCTGATGCGCAGCGTAGCGGACCGCAAACGGCCACAGAAAATGGGGGGCAGCCGCATGGATCATGGAGGTACAAGCGACCTCCATGACTAAGCCAATGCAGCGCTCAGCAACCCCATTCTGCTGCGGAGAGGCCGGAAGCGTGAACGTCTGGCGAATGCCCTCCCCACGACAAAAGTCTTGCAAGAGGTCTGAGGAAAACTCACCACCTTTGTCAGAGTGCAGACAAAGGACGAGAAGGTCCGTCTCGAACCGCTCACGGAGCTGGAGACGAACAGCGCAGATCCACGGGATCAAAACATCAGAGACCTCCCCCTTGTGGCGCAAGGGGGAGACCGTGGTATAACGCGTGTAGTCGTCGACAACCAGCAGAAAGTACCGCTCGTGGCCCTGTCCACGGACGCGAGCTGAGCCCCACACGTTCAGATGGAGAGTCTGCAGGGGAGGAGTCGTCGGGGGGAACGAGGAGGAGTGAGGAGCGGCGCGCTGCTGACCCTCAACACAGGGAAGGCAGGGAGGGGCAGGCGAGGGTGGCAGGGGAGGCAGAGATCTGGGAAGACCAGAGACAAGGAGACGGGAGTGCATGCCACGGAGGCGTGCCATGGAGGGGTGACCAAGGCGGTGGTGCCAGAGGAGCATCTGGTGCGTCAGGGCGCGACACGAGTAGGGGGCCGCTAGCTGACCTAATGAAGACGCAGACGCAGACGCAGCTACCTGAGGAGGCATAGTAGTCAGTGTGTACAGACTCGACCCAGGCTGGCGGGTGAATGTGGACAGGTGCCTGCCAGTCCGAGAGCACGTACAGATCGCCACACGGTGTCCTCCAGAGGTGTGAAGGTGTCAACCCACTGATCCTGAAGGACAGCGGTGCTCACCAAGTTCGTAGAGAATGAGGGGAGGTGGAGACCTGTCAGTGACCCAGACGGAACCGCCGGACAAGGCAGAACATTGGAGGAACGTGCAATGACTGGGCCCCCAGAGGGGTTACCCAAAGAGAGAGCAACATGTGCAGAGAGCGGTGTGACTGTGGTACTGTCGCGAAAGAAACAGTGGGAAGCACCTGAGTCAAGCGTGAAGGTGTGCAAGACCGCAGTAGACGTAGTACCAGAGAGAGCAGACTCACCAGTACTTGAGAGAGTAGACTCACTAGCACCTAGAGCAGCAGCCTCTATACCTGGGTCGGGCGGCCCACACAAGTAACAGTCACCCTCAGCACATCTCTGAGACCCCCAACGCTGAGCAAACCACTCACGAAGCTGCTGGGGCGTAAGGGTCTCACGTGGACGCCGCTGCAGCTGCACCGGGCCACCTCCAGAAACTCCCAACTGAGTAGATGCACCGCGACTGCCACTATGCTGAGACGCCCAACGCTGAGCAAACCACTCACGAAGCTGCTGGGGTGTAAGTGTCTCACGTGGACGCCGCTGTAGCTGCATCTGGCCACCGCTAGAAACTCCCCACTGAACAGCTCCACAGCAACTGCTACGACGGCCGCCACCACTCCCACTGCTGCCGCCACCGCCACCACCACTCCCACCGCTGCCGTGAAGAGAAGTCATGCGACCAGCAGGGCAGTACGTAGGGAAGGAAGGGCGGCGAGAAGGCACTAGGGTAGGTCGGGGCGGTGCACGGTCAGGGAAGGGCGGCGCGCGGCCAGAGCAGGGCTGCGCGCTGCTAGAGCAAGGCGGCGCGCGGCCGGTAGCAGGCAGTAGCTCCTAAGCACCAATGGCCATTTTTATTATTTAATTGTTAATTAGTTTAGGGTTTAGCAGGGCGCACAGGGTGCTGCAGAGGCAGCTCGGGCAGGGCAGAGCAAGGCGCCAGCGCGCGCAAGGCAGGGCGCTGGCACGTTGGCAGGGCAGGGCACTGGCGCGGGCAGCAGCACGCACGGGCAGGGCAGCGCTGGGCAGCGAGTGCAGGCCCGCGGCGGGCGCAAAACGCAAGCACGGCAGGCGCAATGGGTGGGTCCGCGGCGGGCTTAGCGGACAGGTGCGGGAGGGGCGAACGGGCGGGCCCATGACGGGCCTAACGAGCAGGCGCGGCGGCGCGAAGGGAGGGCCCGCGGCGGGCCTAACGGGCAGGCGGTAGGGCGCAACGCGCAGGGCAGCAGGGCGCTTCGCACGGGCTGCGGTAGAGCGCGACGCGCGAGGCAGCAGAGCGCGACGCGCGGGCCGCAGCAGGGTGCGACGCGCAGGGCAGCAGGGCACGGGGCAGGGCAGGGCGTGCGCGAGGCAGCGCGACGCGGGGCAGGGCAGGGCGTGCGCGATGCAGCGCGACGCGGGGCAGGGCAGAGCGTGCGCGATGCAGCGCGACACGGGGCAGGGCAGGGCGTGCGCGGGGCAGCGCGACGTAGGGCTGGGCGTACACAGGCAGTGTGACACAAGTGTGAGAATTAGAAAGAGAATGATTGAACTATGAAACAGTTGGGTACAGGTACTAACCCTAATTGGGTTATACCCCTTATGGGCTACCCCACTACAGCCTACACAGATGTATAAGCTATAATGTTCTGACACACCCCCATAGGCAAAGTGGGGGAGAACAAGTGGTCACAAGACCAGTCAAGCGAAGCAAAGCAAGCTCAGGGTGGATCACAAAGTCACAACACAGTCCGAGCACAAGAGCAAGGCCACAAGGCCAGTTCACATGCAAGATCATATATATAAAGGTAAACAAGCAAGTGCAGGTTTAGAAAGAGTACAGTACAAACAAGATCAAGAAGTGAGCAAGTGAGGCCTGGTAGGCACAAGACCTAGCAAAGTACAGAAGCGCTGATGATCACAAGGCGGAAGGGCCTTGGTGAAGATATCAGCAGTGTTGGCCTCAGAGGCCACGTAGGTGAGGCGGAGCTGACCACGGTGCTGCAGCTCACGAGCCAGGAAGTAGCGGAGAGCAATGTGCTTCGTTCTGTGCTCTAGTCTGTGCTCCCGACACAAGGCCAGCATGGCCTTGTTGTCTACGTACAGAACTGGAGGAGAACGAGGCGACTCTCCTAGGTCAGTCAGCAGGTAGGTGAGCCAGCGTAGCTCCTGTGCAGCCATGGCCCCTGCGTAGATCTCAGCCTCACAGCTGGAGCTGAGAACAGAGGACGAGCGGGTAGACCGCCACGAAACAGAGCCGGAGCCAAGGCTGAAGGTGTAACCCTGTGACGACCGCTGTAGAGCCTGGTCGTCAGCCCAAGAAGCGTCAGCGTGACCTGTGAGGACCACTCGACGTTGCCCTCCAAGCACTAGCCCCATGCCCGACGTACTGCACACGTAGCGCAACACCCTCTTCGCTGCAGCCATGTGCTCTGGTCGGTGTCT